TTTAAACTAATTAGTATTTTTTAGATCAAATATAGATCAAATTTTTGACTAATTTAACATGAATTTGACTAAAAAATAAAATTTAATCTTTGATTTTTAGTTAAATTATAATCAAATTGTAGTTGAATTGTAATTAATTTGCATTTTTTTAACTAGTATAGTCAATTCTTGTTGCAGTTTCATAATTTAATCATATGTATATCTTTTTTATCAAATACAAGCTTCTGTAAAAATCTGTAAAGTCCTGTTTTTTAAACTAATTAAATATTGCCAATTTTTTGTAACATGTTGTTTGTAAATATTGACTGTTTAGTATATTGTCTACTATGTAATTAAAGTTCTCTAGTATAATTATTTGTGTTTCTACTATTTTTACAAATCTTTGCTATATTTTTTTACTAATTAATTTGTTATTTAGTAGAATATATATTCCTATTACTATTAATTCCAATTGTTTAAAATATAATTATATTTCTAATATGTATTTATTAACTTTTTTAACTGCTCTGATGTGTTTTTTCTACTTTTCATCTATTAGTACTCTTTTATTTATTTCTTTTTTCTTATTTAATATTGTACTAATTTAATAATCTTTATATTATATATTTTAACTATACTATATAACTTTTTTCTTTTTTTCTACAATGTTTATTTCTGTTATTTTCAAATTGGTATTCTTTTTCTTTCTGTTCAACCTAAAAGGTTTCTAGTTTTCATTTTTTAGTTTTAAGCCTATTAACATTATAGCATACTATTCTTATATTTTTTTTTATTTTTTATTTATTTTTTTTAGTTGTTTTTGTTCTATCTATGTTTTTTATTTTTTTTTATTTTTTTATACTTTTTTTCTCTTATACCAAAAGATGCTTTTTTTTTTCTTTTTAAAGACCCTTCTTTTTTTTTGTAAAAAATCTTTAATCTTCTTGTTTATGCTTATATGTTTAACTAAGACACCTTTAGATGCAATTAGCTAAGTTTTCTTATATATTTTTTCTTAGTTTATTTTGTTATGTTTCTAATCTTTCTAATTTTTTGAATATTTCTTAAAGCAGGTTTTAAGTTTGTAATTGTAATTCTTCTTTTCTTACTAGATATATAACATATTTTTCTTTGTTTTTACTATTTTCTTTTGCTTTTTTTTATATTTTTATTAATCTTATATTTTTATTGTCTGAGTTTATATATATATTGTTTGCAGTTACATTTTCTTTATAGTATGGTTTCTTTTTATTTTTTATTTTTTTAAATCTTTTTGCCAAAAAAGTAAATAATTATTAAATCTTATTGGTTTTATTTATATTGCTTTTATCTTTTTGTATTATAAAAGTAACTATTGTTGATTTTGTTTAATTACTATTTCTATTTATTAAAATATATATTGACTTTGCTTTTTTTTTTTAAGTATTAAAGTACTAAAACTTTTGATACATTTCTAGAAAACTCTAATAGTTTTGATGTGCACTGGCTATGCAAATCTTATAGGCTATAGTCTTTATTATTTTTAGTTACTTTTGCCAATTTGTAAATATCAACTAGTAGAACCTATAAAATATTTTTTTTTAGTTTTTCAGTTCAAATTATTGCTAATATTTTGTATTTAAATCTTCTGATTTGGTCTATTTTAATACTTCTAATGCTTCTGCATATATATTCTACTTCTTTTACATTAATAATTACTAGCAAATTCTATATTGTTAAATAATTATCTGTTTTTAGCTCTTTTTTTGTTTAATAGGTTTTTGTATCTTTTTTTTTAAATTTAGTTTGTATTTTTGTATTTTTTTTCTTTCTTTTTTTATTTTTTTGTATTAAACTTCTTTGTTTTTTATTTTTTTAAAAAATTTATTTATTCTATATTTTTATCTTTTTTTTTAAAGTTGTATTTGTTCTTTTGTTCTGACATTTAACTTCTATTTTTGATTTCTTCTGAAATAAGTTTGAGTTATTTATCATCTTTTTTTTAATTCTATTTATTGCTATATTTTTACTATGTTTATAATTAAAATCTACTTTTATCTAAATATTTCTATTTTTAAACATTTCTTTAATTGTTTTGATATGATAATTTTTTTCTAAGATCTACTAAACATACTTTATTTTTTTTCTTTAGTTTTTTTTAGTAAAGTATATATTGACATATTTATCTTAAAAAAGTTGTTTCTATTATAGATTTAGTTTTCTAAAGACTATTAGCTATGCTCAATTGTATCTGTTAGAAAGAATTTTTATTTTCTTCATTATTTAGTTCTTCTTCTAGTTCTGTTATCTTTATACTTATATTTTTTATATTTTTTATTTTTTTATTTTTTGTTATTACTTTCTTTTCTGATTTGACTATATTAGTTTGATTTGTTTAGTATTGTAGTATGACAATACTAAGACCTTTTATTTTATCCTTTAGTATTTTGAATTCTTAGTCTATGTTTTTAATTTTGTTTTTTTTTTTTGATATCTTTTTTTGTTAATACTAAATTAAGTCTCTTTGATTTTAACTGATTTTTTTATTTTTTTTATTCTTTTTTTTTTGATAAATTTTTTTTATTTATATTTATAATATTTAAAAAAATCTAAATTGTAGCTTATTGATCTAAGTTTTTTTACTTATTTGTCTGTTAATCTTTCTTTAAACCAATCTATCTTTATATTTTAAAAATTTCTAATATTTAATTATATAGTAACAAGTTATATAATATAATATGTTTTGAATTATATATTACTAAGTCTTTTGCAATATGCTCTATATTGCTTGAATCTTTTGTTAGTATTTTAAGAACTTGGTTTAATATTTTGCAATCTATTAGTTTCTATTATTCATTTTTTTAACATAATATACAGTATAACATTTAAGTTATATATTTTATTTATTAATCTATATATTGGCAACTTATTTCTTTTTAACTAATCAGATGCTAAGATTAAGTTATTTTCTATTATGTTTATAAATATGTTTTATGTACTTTGTTGTTATTTTTGTGATATTTGTTATTTTTCTAATTAGATACAAGTCTTGTTTATTAATTACTATTTGTTGTTGCTTAAATTATTATATGTTTTGTTTTTTAAAAATAACATTAATTCTTCAAAAAAAATTATTTTTCTTATCAAAAAGGTTATTGTGTTTTGTAATTATTTTAACAAAAGTTTTCTTAACCTTTATACCTTAGTATACTATATGTATTTTTAAGTAATGTAACTTTTCTATTAGTTATTTAAAAAATGTTTGCTAGTCTGTTTTTGTGTTATTTTTATAACCTGTTTCTTTTTATTTTGAAATTAAAGATCAGTAAAAAAGATACATGCTATCCAAATAATATATATAAGTATAAACAAACGATTTGTAATAATTAAAATTAATTAATAGAATAAATAATTAAAAAGGTTAAATAAATAATCTTTTAGTAAATTATAAGTATAGCATTTAATATAAAACTTTAAAACAAACTACTTAAAATAAGCAACCAAAAATTGCATATATAACTAGTTGTACTTTCATTACTGTAAAAATAGTTGTAATAATTAATTCTAATATATTAATAAAAATATTGCTACAAAGTATAATTTTTAATAATAATAAAAAATAATCTATAAACAAAAATATTGTAAAATTAGTATTAAGACTTGGTGTAAACTTTATAAAAGTTAAAACTAGATTATTAAAAATATAAAACTTTAATAAATTAAATAAATATATCTTAAAAATAAATTCTGAAATTAAAAAATTGTAATTTGATTTAGATAATATAAATATAAAGAGTTTTAATAAATAATCTTTTAACTAAATATAAATATAATAACTAGTACAGAACCTGTTAGTAAACTACTTAAATTAGGCAACAAAAAGTTGTATATATGGCTAGTTGTATTTTTCAAAATATATAAACCCGTTTGTAGTAAAGTGTAAATAACCAAATTAGAACTAATAAATTTAGCAGCCAAAAAGCACCATCTTAAAAATAAAAAAAAGACAATATTGAATTAAAAATAACAATTTTAATATTAAAATTATATTATTTAATATTGTTTTTTATTACTACTCAAATTTTAAAACAAGCTTCTAATGTTAAAGAATAAATCAAAGAATTTTTTTTAGCATTTTTTTAATGTAAAGAAAATTCACACTGATCTGTATAACAGATAGTGTGACGGATAGTATACATTGGTATTACTAAATTGATTATAACTCTTTTCAAATTACTATGATCATCTAATAATTATTCATCACAAAAATAAATCAAAATTTCATAAATCTTATTAAATTGTTTGAAAATATTTTCCAAGATTCTTAATTTTTTATTATTTCTAGTAGTATACTAAAACTAGTGGTTAGTTTTGCAGAAAAATATCAAAAATCTAAATTTTTTTTTTCTTAAGAATTTTGGCATACGTATAGGTTTTAGTATACTATATACTAGAAATAATGCTAAGAAATCGACAATTTTTATTTTCAGTTTAGTTAATTAGATTATTCACAATAGGCGATCATCGAGTGGTCATACAAGTGCTATGTATAAGACAGCCACTATCACTATTTCTTTAAAGGTGAAGTGTTTGTTGACAATTTATAATACAAATCATGTGAAATTACCTTTAGCATTGGTTAAAAATGGAAAACCCTTTTGTGTTCAAAAAGATACTTAATTACAAGACAATCTGGAATAAATATTTGAATGAACATTAACGATATATCATCATAGTAAAAGTGCCAAAATAATAATTTTGTGATCCTTATCAAATTCATTATCAAAAACTTGTAATCTTTTTTCAATCAATCTACTGTACCTCACAAACACAATAATCAAGAGAATTATTCTTGAATTAATATTATTGGAAATATCACTACTTCTGTAAAATTTTGTTTTGGACAAGATTCACTATCTTTTGCAACCATAACCCTGACCAGTGTCTTAAAAAGTAAATAAAAGATGACGCTTCTTGAAATTTGATAAATGAAGACAATATACATATTGTTTTCATGTTTCAGGAATAGACCAATTTTCAATATGTTATCAGTAGGTGCACTACAATATAATCATAAATTCGAAACTAGTGTAAGTGTTGTTTAGCTATTGATGAGTTTTTAAAACATGATAAAGCAAAATGAGTTTGCGAATGACAATAAGAAAGAGAATCTTTTAAAAGAAGGTTTTGATAAGCTTTTAGCCATGAATCTTAATGAATTTGAAAGTGAAAAGAAAGCCATAATTGATATTGATGAATATGGTTTAGGAATGTGTAATGTAATTCAGCAGGAATTTAGTCTGCTAAATAATTGGAAATAATTGTGGATTAAGATTTTATTTGTGAATGTAAACACATAAAACAACTCATTAACTGGTAATATATATATTATGCGATATTTATAAGAAAGCAACAAAATATAACGAATAACTTTAAAATGTGTGACCCCCAAAAAAATTTTTTAATGACGAATGGTTTTCTATTTGCTTACTAAATGTCCGGGGATAATGAAGTCTAAACCATGTGATGCGAACTTATTTTCACAGAAAAACACCAATAATGTAAAGTTTGCGCATTATTATGATAACATTCAATGTACCTACTTTATTGGTGGATATAGGTAATTCATATGAGGTCATTCAATGCTTTTGACGACAAAGGGATTTTTTTCAATAACGATAAAAAAAAATGGCGTATGGTACAAACTTAATTCACAGTGTCGAGACTGTGAAACAACGCATCGACAGAACTGATCAGCATAGCAAATAATCAAAACTTTAATTAAATCTTGCCAGACAGCGAGTAACCAATCATACCGCGACTTCTAAATAGAACATCTATAAAAAAAATTTTTTTTTTGGATTATTAATATTATTAATGAGTTGAACACTTAACATTAATGTAATAAAATTAGAAAATTTTGATTAGATATGATTCGAAGTTTTTTTTTCTTCGCTTTGCACACGTGTCGGGTAAGCTCTATTTTCTTTTTTGAGGGTGCATCATAAGATGAAACAGGAATATTTATTTTCTTGTGACATACTCGTGAAGTTCCATAAATAGAGGGTTCAATGTATCTAATTATATAAATCTCATATCGATATGTTGTGCCTCAGATATATATTCTGCCTCAGGTAACAACCGACGTACGTACCTCAAATTTAATTGTTTGGCCGGCCCAAACTATGTGATGAATAGCCAGCATTAACTAGTTAACATTAATTGGCCTAAATTATAATCTAATCCTACTCTAAAAATAATCCTAATTTAGGCCAATCGTATCTGAAGCAAGTTGTATTCGAGACACAACATATGCATGCGAATTTTTTTTTCACTATAGTTTAAGATTCATTGTAATAAATTCGTACGTACAATTAAGTTTTATTGATAATCACAAGATTCTCTTGAATTATCGGTTGAGGGAAGGCGTTAATTGTGTAAACAGAAAAACAATGTCACAATTTTGTGTGACTTGATGGTTTGTGTCATGCTAGAATTCAGGAGTATGGGCATGCGAATTATTTATGATAAACAATGAATTTGCTAGTAATGCAAGAAGAAAAAAAGATCGTTCTTTCAAGTAATTAAACCCCACATCGCATACAAATATTATCTAAACGTGGGATAGAACAAATATTTGGGTACAGTTTCTCTGTCATTTTTGATTTTTTGATTTTTGAATTTTTTTTTTTTACACATTTTTTCGCCATTCCGGTGCTTGGAATTATTCTGTTTGTTGGCTGATTAGCTGTGATACTTTAAAATAACAAATATCTTAATTGGTACGCATATTAGCCTTATTGTCTTTACCCAATATACATCGAAAAAAGAAAGCGAAGAATATTTGTTGACATGTCAATTGACAATCCGCAATTACAAATTTTATATTTATGATTTCTTTGTCGAATGAAATCATAGATTTCATTGATTATATTTTGAAAAAAAACAATGAAATTTCTCCATGTCTAATACTATGTTCAATACTAGCATTTATTCTGTCATTAATCCTTGGCACTTATTGGGTTGCCTCCTTATTAATTCGATACCTTGTAATTAATAATATTTTCCGAAACCCAATGGTTTTAACCATGGCGTAAAGAATGCCATTTGGAAGAAGTATATTAATTGCTTGTCCTAAGAAAAGTTCATAGTCTTTTTAGTGTCACATACACAAGGTCTTCCAATGCAAGTTTTGTTTATATCTTCTTATGGTAAAACCTACTAATTAAAAAGCGACGCGTTTACCAACTGTCAATAATTAATTTACTTTATGATATATTTATTAAATGTTTGTACTGATGACGGTGCACAAATGGCGTCAAGATCAAAAGATAAACCAAAAAAAAGTTGATCCGTACGTAATTCAGAATTCAAAGTATATATAAATGCGATTTTAATTCATAGCATTTGAGATTCCTCGCCAAGGAATTTTCGAAGAACAGCGGTTCTTATTTAAAAAACTCGTTTTTTACCTCCTTTTTCGTCTAATCCCTACTAATTTTGGGAATATGGAGGTCGATGATTAAATATGATTTATCTCTGTTAGTATTTTAATTTGTTTTCTTTTCTTTTTTTTTTTTTTTTGTTATATAAAATTCATTTATTTTTTTTTATTTTTGATTTGATATTTAGTATATAAAGGATTGTTGGAATAAATTATGAATTTATAGTAACGATAATTCAGAATTCCGTCATAAGCAAGCCACCTGATACCGAAGTGCATACACACACTTAACAATAGATAATATACCGCTAGTCGGATATTATCAATTGTCTCTCATGTGATCAAGTTTGTTTATAAAATTCGTTTTTGGCATTACGAAGAAACGGCGGGATGGCGTTAATACGCCCAATCCTTTCAAAGGCAAAATTTTCTGTTCGATGATGAAGACAACGGTCTCGCTATTCAAATTTGTTTAATAATTCGTTCGTTTTTTTTTTTATCAATTCGCGGGGTTTTCCTGTTTATTCGGCAAATTCAATTTAATTCAGATAATGCAAAGAAAAAAAAATTTTTATGAATTATGAATTGATTTTTTTGTTGTTTGATTAGAACTCACTATGGAAATAAAGATTTTAAAGTTACCACGTGCCATGCATTATAAAATCACGACAATTGATTGGTTAATAAGAAAAATGTGTACTAAGTATGCTATTTGGTTAGATTTAAATAAGTTTCATTGTTTTTCATGCAATTCCTTTTAAGTTCCGTATTAAATGCTTTAATCGTTTTCTGCGTCGCATTAATAATCCCTATCTCACATAACCGATTGATCCGATATTTGTTTAAAATAACAATTGCAATTTGATTTTTCCATAATCAAATAGTGCCTGGATCCAGATAAGCTCTTTGAAATTAACGAATAACGGTTGTGCATTTTATAATACACTCTATCTTAATTTAAGTAGACTTTGTTAACGCAGTAATTATTCGGATCAATTTAAATAAATGTATTCTTCTCAGCCCGATCAATCCGTTATAATGAGTAATATAAACGGACCATATAGATTTATGGAATTTATATTAGGGGTTTTTTTTAACTTTAAATTCAAATAAATTTTAATCTATAAATTTCAAGAAATAATTTTGTTATTATTGTGTTCATCTCTTTAAGACGATTTTATCAAGCCCAAAATCATCCAAATCCAATCACAGAAGAAGTCGTATTTTATATGTTATAAAATTGGTTAGACATACCAATTGTACAACATATATAAGGTGCGTTACTTATTTGACCACCCATTATTTCATTATTCTATAATTGGATTTGAATAATTTTAGACTTGTTAGAATTGTTTTAAAATGAATATAATAATAACAAAATTATTTCTTAAAAATTTTAAATTAAAAATTATTTGAATTTAAGTTTTTTTTTTTGTATTAAGATTAATATTTATGATGATTATTATTATTTTTTCACTTAGATAGCCATGCTGATAGCTTTTATTAAGTAAATATTAACACTATTGCTAATAATACAAGTTTACTTTTCAAGTTCCAACTCTTCTAGTTGTTTCTTTGAGTGCCCAGAAGCAACTTATTGCATTAGGCAATAATAAGTACCATTTGGAAAATTATTTCTGACTGTCATTCTACAATTAAGTACTACTATTTTAATAATATTTTTTTATAAAAAAGTAAAAGAAACAAAAAAAACTAATTTAAACTAAACTAAAAGGATTACAGGAAGTAAAAATAAAAAACAAACATTTCAAAAAACAACTTTCTTTATAATCATTCTAATAAGGTTATTAATACTTTAATTTATACTAAAAATCTAACTACACTTTAACCTATACTAATAAAATAAAAATTATATATATGATTTAGAAATTATATATATCTCTAATTTACTATAATTTTTTAACTTAAATCTTTTTTGTTCTTTATTATATTATATATTAAATCATATATATAATTATTATATTTTTATTACATTATATTATAACATATAATTATTTGAAAAAAGAAATAATAAATAATGCTGATCTTTTGTAAAAAGATGTCAAAATTCTTATTTTTAAATAAAAAAAATATTAAAAAAAAAATTAGTAATTATAATATATAAAAAACTAAACTAAAAAGTAGGTTTTTAGTTTCTTATCTTGTTTTTAAGTTTTTTATAATCTTTAATCAAAGTTTTTTTCTATTATTTTTGGAATTTTCTTCTAGTTTGAATACTAAATATATTAATAAGTTTATTTAAATTAAAAAGCTTGACCTTGATATAAATTATTAAAAGAATTATTTATATCTTAGTTTTTTTATATGCTTCTAGTTTGTTAACAATAATCTGCTTACTATATTTATACAAAATCAAAAATGTTATCAGTTTAAAAACTTAACTCTTTAAACTGTTTTAGTACTAATTTGATTTAAATAATTGTTATAAAAAATTATTAAATTTGATGACTATTATTTTTATTGTATTTTTAATTATTTATTATATATATAAATTATATAATATAAGTGTATAATATAAATATGAGTTTTATGATACAAACAAAGCCAGAAGAATTAATAATGCTAAAATTGATAAGTAAAAGAGTAGAGACAGTACTAAAACTTATAGATAGCAAAGAGTTAGAGCAAGAACTAGCAAATAAAGATAACTACTTTAATATAAGAGATATAATTGTAGCAGCATTATGGAAGACTGATTTGATAGAGACAATAATGCTAAGAAAAATATATAAAATAATAATTAAAGTAAATATGAAAGACCTAACCAGTATAAAAAAATATGCAGAAGAAATAAATTATGTAAGTTAACATCCAATAGTAATAGAAAGCATAAGTAGTAAGAAAAATTAAACAACA